AAGGGTACGCTGGTATGAACTGAAACTTTTATAAAAACTTAAGTAGCTTCGATACTTACTTTTGGGTAGAATTTCGGATAAAAATTCTTTAATAGATTGTTTTAAAAAAACTCAGTCGTCCATAAAAAAAAGGGATGACATACGCATAACGGTGAAACAATAGCAACTAAGAGTCGATCATTATGGATTTCTTCTAGTCTAATCGAACTCTATCCATGAATAAACTTTAAAAATCTTTTGCATAATTGTCCATGAGTTACAAACCTTTACTTAACATATAACAATTGAAGATCTCAACTGAAGGAGCCAAAAAGTCTTACACGATATGGGAGCAATTGAGCTTTAAGTATGGTCGAGTTTTCAGGTTATGTCTTAGTTATCGTGAAATAATTGAGTCGATTTGTTAAAAAATGTCTTTGTGTAGAGTTGGTCAGATCAACATAATATTACTTGAATCATTCTCAGGGCTGATGATTAACCTACTCAGTGAGCAAACTACAACACATAGGTGTCTATAATTCTTCAAACGTTGCGTGGTTTTTGATAGGAGAAATACTAGTTTCGAAATAGTATCATCAGAGAAAATTTTGCTTGCAACTATGAAGTAATTGATGCTGCCACCCAAATATATCTTTTAATTTTACACAATGCATATAAATTAAGTCTGTTTTAGAAAGAAGATTTCTACCAGAATGGAGGAACTCTGCTCGACGTAATTCACATAGTGGAACACAAAATAAGTGGCCACGATTACTCGTGTTGGGATGTATGCTTCTTCTTGTTGCTATTGTGGTTGTGATTGTGATATATTCACGAAGTACCATTGGTACAACAGATCAAAAATCAAGCACTACAATATCGACAACCTTAACAGAATGCAGTAAGCAATGTGTAAATTCAACTCAACTTGAGCGATCCGTTCACAACCGTCGTTATTATTGTAGCAAAGTTGAGCAGCTTGAGAGATTGTCCTCCTAAAAATGCTCATAGCTCGACAGTGTCTGGTACAATCCAACTATTGTTTCCACATACAAGCACAAGTTACACCTCCAAAATCTATCTAATTTTATTCCTTCTTGTTAAAAGAATGCGCCAAGTTTGTGTCCTCGTTCTTTTATACTTGCTCGAATTCGTGATACGTATAAGAAAAATGATCTCTTCTGAGTAATTCTTCTGAGAAATATATCGCATACAATCTACGAAGTGAACTCAGATGGTTTTCAAAAATATACCCAAAATCGTGTTTATCTCTATTAATCAAACAGCTTTTAAGCGCAACTAGGCCTACTGGAGTTTATTTTGATTCACCTGAAGCACATTTTTAATATCACATCACCATATTTCTTTGTCATTATCAGTATCATTATAGTGTATTCTCCTTAATGAGAGAATAGCAAAACTGTAGTTTTCTTTCGGATCTTTTAAACTTTTTTTCAGAGTTTCGATCCCGCAAAATTTTTGAATTTTGGCCCTGATTGTAGTCACACGGAATCGAGACTAGTCGTGTTAATCACCATCTGTAAGACATTGTTGAAATATATATCCATCTAATCTTTGAAGGCCAAATAAACAGCATAATATTTTTTCAAGTATATGCCCAATATGGAAAGCTATTAAATCTCGGTTATATGTTTTTACGCTGGGTATTAAGATTTAGATGATCCCAAAAAAAACTGGGATGAAGTGGGTGTGGGGGAAGATGAGATTGACATCCACCCTCATACTATCACACCTCAGATAAAATCTTCTTAGGATTTTTTAGTTTAGGTGGCTCATAGAACTCATGAATATATTACTGAAAACCTTTCTGAAGTTCATATAAATCGTTGAACGATTTAAGCTTTTTAGTACTCTTTCTGATAATCTCACTAAGATTCTGCATGCGAAAGTATGAATAAAATTCTCAGATTCATGTGCTTTTCTATCGAGAGCTTAGATAGGATCAGCATAGATCTTCTCAGTATTTCAAAAATGGCCACCCATGGAAAGTCTTCTCAAAGCAACTTTAAGGTGCTATACTTTCATTCACCATAAAGATTCTATGTTTAAGAATGTAATAGATCTAGGCAAAACCTTGAAAAAGTCGTTTCTGACATGGATTACCATGATTCCGCTAGATGTTCTCGTGAAGTGACACAGATGTAACAATCGCTACAAAATCCGTTTTTTCATACGAGACTAAAAAGAGATTTCTGAAGTTATATCTACGGGAAGAACTTTTTCATCGTTTCGAGTCTGTGAGGAAAAAAACATTTTGGAAAGTTTTATTAAGTCTTTTCGAAGAAGATTGTCTAATCTTTAGCAACACACTCCTTCCTCCGCCACAGAAAGATCTCTTCGACATTGATGATAATGATTCCTTTTCTTTTTTGTTCATTGTAGCGATTTCCAATATTTCAGTCAATGCTCGATGGAAACAGCCTGGTCAGATCGTCGCTGGAGGTCATGAACCAGGAAATGACACCAATCAACTCAACAAGCCCTGGGGCCTCTTCGTTGATGATGATCAAACGGTGATCATTGCTGACTATGGCAATCATCGTATTGTCCAATGGAAGATGAATGATACAAAGGGAGAAGTGTTAGCTGGTGATCATGACCAAGGAAATGGATTGGATCAATTGTACAAACCAACGGATGTGTTGATCGACAAAGAGACAAATAGTCTTATTATATGTGATAGTGGAAACCGACGAGTCATACGATGGTCTCGTCGTAGGGGCACCAGTGAAGGAGAAATTCTCCTGAATAACATCGCTTGTCGAGGATTGGCGATGGATTATCAGAAGTATCTCTACATCTCTGACACTGGTAAACATGAAGTAAGCCGATATAAAATAGAAGACAAGAATGGAAGTGTCGTAGCTGGTGTACATCGTAGAATTAATGATAGCAAACAACTCTACTGGCCGTCATACGTGTTTGTCGAGCGACAACAAACTGTTTATGTGTCAGATAACAACAATCATCGCGTGATAAAATGGAATAAAGGTGCAGAGGAAGGGATTGTCATCGCTGGTGTCCAGGGTAAAGGAACTGCTAAAACACAATTGCGAAATCCTAACGGACTATTTGTCGATACGTGTGGTACCCTCTATGTGGCAGACTCGGTGAATAATCGAGTGATGCGTTGGCGTGAAGGAGAGAAAAATGGTACTATCATTGTAGGTAGAAATGGTCAATTGAGTGTTCCTATGGGTTTGTCCTTCGATCGATATGGCAATCTTTATGTCGTCGATCGTCAAAATCATTGTGTTCGACGGTTTTCTATGGAATTAGCACATGCCGATGGTTAATTAGTTCTTGTTCTTTGTCTCAAATAAATTACGTTGAAAAGAAAAGAGATGGCTATTCGAAGCAAGAAGTGTGGGTGAAGATTTAGATAGAAAGAAAATCCACGCCCACAGTCAATCATGCATCATCTACTCCGTACTGGCTATGATCCTCGAGTATGAAGCTTGAAGGAAGTGTTTGGTGATGGATTTTATTGAGATGAAAATTCAAGTGAATTCAATCAGATTAGTTTATGCCTGGGATGCGACTTGCATTCAATATTTTCCGGTCGTGGATGCAAAGGTCAGAACAAAGAAAGTCTTGTAAAAAGTATTGAGTGCGTCGAGCAGCATTGAAACAGAATGGATTTGATTTGTATGATTTTGTGTTTGGTGAAAGTAAGAAGTATATTCAGAATATGTCATAGCATTTCGAAAATCAATTGCAATCATTTCGATTACGAAAAGCAAGAATACATATTCGACATGTGGAATCTAGTTCAGATTGTTATGAGATAGTCATGAAGATGTAACACTGTGTTGCTCACAAGCATTGATTAATTTGTTGATTGAACAAATTCCTCATATAAGTGATCTGACTTAGTGCTGAAACGCAAATATAATTTTTGCCAAATCTATAGGTGATTCTGTATATCAGTATTGAATAATGAAGTTTTCTACTTCTAACATATCAGTCTTTTCTAAATCATCGTACCGAAAACATTTTTTGCAAAACGAGACATTCATGTTTTGCGTGCTATGCTTCTAGTAATAGTTATTGTTAGATTGGATGATGCTAGGATATTTCTGTCTCATACAAGAATCAGTTCTTCCTGCAACGAACAAACTCGGATTTATAACTCTTTCTTTTGTATAGAGTGGCACTTATGGTTCAGTCATCAGTTCGGTTCTTAATCGATCAATGCTGTACTACTGTTGACTGTTTTTCTCACGCAGTAATAACCATTTCATTATGAATGTAATGTTGACAGCAAGCATTTGCCTACGTGCTATATTAAATGATATATCGCCGCAAAATTAGAATGCGCTCTAAAGAAAAGCAACGAGCATTTCACTAAATCGTTATGTCGTCGGAAAATACTGGGAAGAAAAAAAAGGAAAAGTAATTACTGGTTTAATTTAATTGGATATGAGTTATGATGTATTTGAATACAGAAAAACGATGGTTGATTTCAACTGCTAGAGCAAGATGCAAATATCAAGAGTTAAAGAACGAGAGTAGGCAGTGTGCACGTTTTTATTCTTGCTCCAAGAGTTATTAATAGGATGTTGATGTCTTTCATTACTGATAATAGGACTTTTTGACTGAAAAATTTTCATTCTACGCATGGCATTCTCAAAGTTTTCTCATTAATATCGTGCACTATAAAACCTTTCAAGTTCAAGGTCAGCTTTGATTTGGATAGGTTTTGAATGACCTGAGTTTTAAAGTCTAAACTTTTCCCCTTGCCATATGTGATTTAGATCATAGGCGCACTTTTACAATTCTAGTTGTATAACTATGACTACGAATGTAATGATCCCGTGCTATTTGTCTAATCATTTTGGTAATTTCAGATGTCAAAATCAAAATTGCGTTTCTTGCATCCGTGAACATAAGAGTTTTATCGCATGAATAAGAGTATGAATCGTATCGATCTTATAATGATTGGAGTTTTCATACTGTTCCGTATCCAGCATGTAGGTTGTGTGTTCATTCCTAATCGAATGGATTACAATGCTTATGGTATAAAAGTAGCTATGAATGAAGTTCTTCTTGTACAAGCTCAAAACGCCAAAAACCCGCCGACATTTTTTATTCAATTTGCACCTTACAATAATACACAAACATCATTGCAATGTTCCATTAACTATCCTGATATATTAGAAAATTATATTTATTCGGTTGCTGTCGGAAAGAATCCGAATCGAAATCAAACACAATTTTTCTTTGCTGGCGAATCGATCAACAGTAGTAAGAGAGGATTCATTGGCGTAGCAAAGCACGATCAGACAAATTTTGTTTCGAATGTATCGAACTTGTGTGCCATGAGTTTCTCTTACTCTCGTCAATATATAGTCAACTATGAACATCAAGAATACTATGTTATTGGAGTTGAACCTCAAGGTCGTTTTGCCTATGGATTTTCAAATAAATTTGTTTTTATATTTGATTCCAAAAATGGCTCAACTTTAGCATCATGGCATGGCAACTTGACATGGCCGAATAGTTCTTTTATGCCACATGCTGTTGATATTAGTAACAATTTTGGCGTTATTGTAGGTTTCATTCAGAATGACCCCCAAAAAAGAGTCCAATACAGTCCTATCATCTATCTTCTCAATTTTCTTCCATCAAATCGTCATCCAATTGTTGTTAACCACTATATACCATTCGCTACTAGTGGTACATGGCAAGATTTATTGAGCAATTCAGATGCAGACACCTATTCAGCAAAATATGATATGTCAATTAGTATTAATCGTTATGGTGATGTATTAGTTGGCATGCAACATATCAATCGAGTTTTCTTATTTTCAGTTAATATTTCCAATCCGATACAATTGACTTATATAAGTAGGAATACCAACGGTCGATCGTTGGGGAATGGAAAAAGCGTAGCCTGGTTAGATAATGGAAATATGGCTGCTATACTTGTCAATACCTATTCACTCAGTTATCAGTGGTTATCTTCTCAAATCTATTTCTATGACATGCAATCGAGCATTTATAACTCGAACAGTACTCCACTATCAATTTTCCCTAATTATCATCAATTGTTGCCGGAAAATTTTAGTCCTATATTTTTGAATATGATTTCATCATCAATTTCACTAACTTTAATGGACTCTAGTGGCAATTTGTTAATATTCAATCCCACACCTCCAGGCTTCTATCCATCAATACCAGCTACGGGATCAGTACCATTCATTACATTCCCAGAATCTTGTCCGCTAGGTATGTACAAGAACCAAACTGGCATTAATGATTGTATTCTTTGCCCAACTGGTACAAAAAATTCGGGCAATGCTACTGTTCAATGTACTCCATGTGCATCAGGCGCATTTTGTCCGCTTGGTTCAGTGAGTGAAACATCTCAATCGGCATTGAAAATCATCGAACAAGTTATTGCCTATCCAAAATCATCCGACACTACTATATTTGATGAAATTTTAATTCAAAATATGTTTCATATTGGATCAGGTCATTGTCTGTTGATATCACCCTTATTTTGGACATTGATTGTAGCCGGTCTAGCTATTCTGGTTGTGATAAGCATGGGAATACTTAAATTTTTCATTAGACATCACACATGTACGCAAATAAGAAAACGTGTTCAATGGATATTTAAAAAAACAGATTTAATTGGAGAAGGTGAATTATGGGTGGGTGGTTTGATATCATTTTCTGTTGTAGTTCTCGTTAGTTTTGCTTATGCGTTTAGTAATGCCTATCTCAAGCAGTATCCCATTGAATCTTCGACCGATTTCTATTTCGCTTGTCATCGTTCGATTCGTAATGCTAAATTTCAAACACATCTTCAAACATTGGCTGTACCGCCACCAGAAACTGAGCCGGAAAGATGTTTGATTTATTAAATGAACAAAGCTTGTCGCTAAATGTCGATTTTATCAACACATTTATTAATTGTGATGTCGTATCCATTCAAGCTCTCTTTGGTAATACTTGGTCGACGATTCGTTGGTCTAATTGTCAAAATATCAATTCGATTCTAAGTCTATTCGTTCCTCTTCCCTATCAGCATATATCAGTAAAAATTACGCTAGCTCAAATTCAAACAATCGGTGCTTTACGCATTGGTGTAAATGGTGACAAACATGAAGAAGACCCATATAAACTAAAGAAATTAAACTTTTACGGATCTTTTTCGAAGAATGGATCTGTTCGAGCACAAACATTATCTGTATCTCTAACGCTAACAAAAGTGATCAATGAAACATTATCAATGGAGGGTGAAAAGTCCAATTTTAGTGGCATTTACATTCCAACATACACGATTGATCTAAATAGTTTATTTTTTTCACAAGATCAATATATTCGTTCAACATCACAAGAGATTCTATTGTTGATTGTACTGAGTGAAACGCCTTACTATGTCAAAAACCAACAACAACCAATAGCTAAACAACCAGAGATTATATTTCACAATGTTCTATTCACTGTAGTTTGTCTGGAAATATTTAGTCTCATATTCATATTGTACAAATTGATTTTCAAACCAATTTATCATTCAATCTGTCGCACAGTATGTTGTCACCATGAAAAATTTATACAGAATGACGAAGAGATGAATATTGACTTCAAATACTCGAATACACGGTCCAATACAATTGATATTGATGAACAGCCTATAACATATATTTTCTAGTTAGAACTTGACCATTCGTCTATATTGAAATCAACAAATACCCTTCAATGTTTTGTCTAAATAGTTTTTCGCGTTCTATCGATAGTGCTTATCTATTATTGAATATAACAAGCCAAAAGCAGTGCGTTATGCCTCAAAGATTTTGAACAATCAGCATACGAATGGCAGTATTTATTGTGTTTCAAACAGCTTAATACTATGTAGTTCTTTCGAATATGTATGAGATTGCACGTCTTAGAGAAAAATATTTTATAGTTGGGTATCATTTTCGAAATTTATTGGCGTGTTTGCCAGTCTTCAATGTGTTTCTTTTTAATGTAAAGCACACGTCATGTAGAAATTATATTGTTCTTGGAACATCCCATAGCATTCGATACATAAATAAGTATCATTCCATCTCTTAAGGGGGAACCCCCCCTTCGAAAGTCGATTTTTCCTTGAAAAAGTCGATTTTTGGAAAAACACATCTTCTTGTAGCCCCAAGTGTCCTCTTTCAGAATATGTATAAACTATATAGGAATGGAACATATTTTGCCCAATTTTGGCAAGTTTACTGGACGCTATAATGGAAAATCGGCTGTCTTGTTGATTTTCTTTCTTAATTATCGGTAACTAATATCGTTCTACCTTCTTTATTAGCACTCTAAAACCATTACCGTATCGAGTAATCATGTTTTGGATGTCGCAGTCTTATAAGAAAGGTTCAAAATTAGCCCAAGTCAGCATGTGCGCTATTGGTACGGGGTACGGTACGCTTGTGCGCATCGGTGCACCTAGTGTCACGAGTGACGTAACGCGTACTGTGATGTACCGATGCGTTCATCACTAGTTCGTGTGACGTACGTGATGTCGCGTCCAGTGGAGAGGCCGTCTATCCACATATATGGTACCAACAACAAAGGCATATCTATATAACGGACATCCTTTTTGGGAAAAGAATAAAATCTGAAACAATTAGTTTTTCTCATAAAAATATATTTTATATATATATACTTAAAAATATTTCATTTATATTTTTCTATGATTTTTTTTAATATAAATTAAATATTTAATTTATTTTTTGATTCTTTTTTTTTAGAATGTATATTAAAGTATTTAATTAATTTTTTTATAACTGTTTTTACAATCTATATTAAAATATTTAATTTATTTTTTTAATAATTTTTTAGGATATGTACTAAAAATTTTAATTTATTTTTTAATATTTTTTTTAGGATATACATATATATAAGTATTGAATTTTTTTTTATAATTTTTAGAATATATATTACAATATTTAACTTTTTTTATAACTTTTTTAGAATGTATATAAAAAAATACACTAAATATTTTTTTTATAATATTTTTACAATTTTTTTTTTAATCTAATTGTTCCAGATTTCTTCTTCATCCTGTATTTTACACGAAATCAAGATGAACTTTATCAAGGAACTACTTCTCTCATTGCTGAAATAAACAATGAATTAAACAGTCAAGATCAGTTCAATGATGAACAGGATGATGATGATGATTATTATTGATATTTAATTTATGTGTTAAAAGTTATAAGATTTATGCAACTTATTTATATTATAAGTTATGTACATGAAATTATGTTGCAGCTTTGTCACAACTTAAAGTTCATTTTTTTGCATCATGAAATAGGAACTGTCACACTTATCCATCTGTACGTTATTCAGAAAATTTTAATTTTATATTGGTTTTCTTTATAAAAGTTGCAAATCTCATGATACATTTATGTGATGTGACATCTTGTCATTTTTTTTGTAAAACAAATATTGAATTTTTTTTTCTTCCAGTC